GGAGGAGTTACTTTATTAACACCTATAGGGTCTAGAATGCAGATTAAAGTGCATTTTCATTACCCCAGCTAGAGAGCCTCTGCTACAACCCTGTTGTCAAACAAGAACCCTTTGGTCAGGAAAGGACTGACCCCGCCACAGCCATATTCTGTCTTTGAAGCTACAACTGGCACAAACCTTTGATTTAGGATGTTCCCAGGACGTAGCTCCCCTAATCTCATCTCTGCTGCAGGCAGATACAAGCCCAGCTCCCCTTACAGGTCTCCAGAGGCCTAGGGAACCCAAGGGCCACCCAGACCGGTTTGGGGAGTCGGATGGGACAAACCTAGGTAGAATGCCAATGCCACAGCCGTCAAATGCAACCACTTGGCTACCAACCCCAGAGACCCTTGTCACTCACTCTACAGAGGGGTTTCCCCAGTAACTGAGAAGTCTCTGGAGGCAAGGAGGCAACCCTCAAGTTCCCCGCCTTCTATGCTCCCTCCAGGCTGACTCCAGAGATCACTGGCCATCCCGCCCCTCCCGGGGCTAGCTAACGTCCACCCGGAGCGTTCCAGCTGGAAGGGAGAGGGGGTGCACCTACTGTTGGGGGAAAGGAATGCTGGGCGCCTAGGGCCTACCCAGGCCCCTCCTTCCCCATCTGCTTCCAGTCTCTCGGCCTTCGAAGACACGAGGGGGAGCCTCCAGACGCCCAGCTTCTAGGTATCCATGGGCAGAGGTGAAGAGGAAAGGAGGCTGTGGAGAGAGGGTCCGCACGAGAGCGTACGGAGGCTGAGAAAGGGGCGTTCACGCCGGAGTGGAGTCATTAATTTGGGGGAGAAGAGTCCACCTTTGTTACTTGGAGCACCCTCTTTGCAGTGACCGGGGAAGGGGGTGTCCCTCGGTAGAGAAGAGGGTCCTGTGGGAAAGAGGGTACCTATTTTCATTAATCGTGGGGAGAGGGTTTGGAGATTCCTCCTCCAGGTTTTCCAAGAAGGGTCAGGGTCTCGGGGATGGAATGGAGCTGGCAACCCTTTTTACCAAATCTAGTGGGGTGTGTGAGGGTGTGCGCGCGCCTGTGGGCGTGCGCTCCTAGCCCGTCTTGGGAACTCGAAGGGGTAAGACTTCCCTTTAAACTGCGAACTGAGGGCCACAGCTCAGGACATCCGTTGCCCGCTCAACCCACGCCCCGGCGCCCCTCCATTTGCCCCTCCCCGCGAGGGGGGTCTAGCCAGCCCGGGCATGCTGTACCCTAGCATCTAAGCTACGAGCTCTCACCGGTCCCGTCGGCCGCGCTGGCCGGGGTCTGCAGGCGGAGAGGAGGGAGGCGGGAGTGGGGGAACTAAGAGGAAGAGAAAAAGGGAGGAACTCTCCGTGGGCAAGGGCGGGAGCTGGAGCCCGTTTCCTGCCCCGCCCAGGCTGCATCCTTCCTCCGCCCCCCCTCCCCGCCCCTTCCTCCGCCCCCCCTCCCCGCCCCTTCCTCCGCCCCCTCCCCGCCCCTTCCTCCGCCCCTCCCCGCCCCTTCCTCCGCCCCCGCCCCTTCCTCCGCCCCCGCCCCGCCCCTTCCTCCGCCCCTTCCTCCGCCCCTCGTCTGCAGGCGTCTCCTACGCGCGCGCAGGATTTGGCTCTCCCCGCGCATGGCTGGGGGGAGCTGGCAAAAGCGCACGGAGGCCTCCGGCTGCACGTTCCGCAAAGTGAGCTCTAATTCTCGGCGTTTTGAAGCCACGCTGACAGGCCCTGAATAGTTTACAGATGAGGAAACTGAGGCCCATCCTACACTCCTGGCTTGAAGTGAGAGTGCCCGGGCCACCGCCGAGACAGGTGGACTGGCCTCGGAGCACGGGTTTGCGCATTGATTTAGGGCTTCCCCTGCCTAAATAACCTACACCTGAGCCACCTGTTTTGGAAGCATTCCTGGAGCCCAGGACACCGAAGGATGAGGTATGGCCTTGACCGGCAGGTTTTAGCCATTACTTCTCACACAGATAACGTGAACCAGCGAGATCCTTAAAGATGGGTTAGGTTATTTCCTCTGTTTTTTTTTTTTTTTTTTTAATAATTGAAAAAAATCTAAACCCAAGTCCCTCAGCTCCACGTCGGAGCCCGACGACACATGTTCCCTGGCCCCATATCCGTCCCATAGAGCAGGGTTTCTCAATGGCAGCGCTATTGACATTTGAGGCCGGGAAAGTTTGTATTGAAGGCGCTGCCCTGTGTTTTGTAGAAAGTTTAGCAGCATCCCTGGCCTCGACCCACTAGATGCCAGGAGGCATCCCCTTCCTCCCAGTTGTGACAACCAAAAATGTCCCCAAACATTGCCAAATGTCCTGTGAGGACACAATCTTCCTATTAAGAACCACTGCCATAGGGGCACCTAGGTGCCCCCAGTTGGTTAAGCATCTGCCTTTGGCTCTGGTAGTGATCCCAGGGTTCTAGGATTGAGCCCCGCTTCTGGCATCCTGCTCAGTGAGGGCCATAGCGGGGCTGGGGCGGGGGGGTTGGGGGGGGTCTGCTTGTCTGCTTCTTCCTCTCCCCCTGCCCCTCCCTGTCTCTCTCTCAAATAAATAAATCTAAAAACAAAAACAAACAACAACAACAAAAACACTGGTATAGACTGTGGGCTGTGGGAGGGAGGTTCCAACAGTCCTGGACCCTGATCTCAGGGCTGACTCTTACTGTGTGACCTTGGATAAGTTACCTCTCTGGTCCAGGGTTTCATCTGTAAAATGACAGACCTGAGCATTGCCTGAGCATTGGCCTGCTACTGCATAGTTCTCAGGCATTTTTCATCCAGGGACCTCTGTGGACCTCCCTTTCCTCTGTGACCTGCATCCATAGCAGCCTGGGAAGCAATCACAGGGTTTTAGAGAGGACGGATGCAAAAATAGCTGTAAAGAACTTAGTACCTACATCGAGTATAGGAGGGATTGAAAAAGATTCAATAGTGCAGTCTTCTACCAACTAATATCTCTAGAAATAAACAGGCTGGTGGATAAAGGAATAAGCTTGAGGACAATAATAATAAAAAGGAGCTAAGAGATCCCATCTAATTCCACAACGGCCAGCAAAAGAGGAGCTGATGGTGGAGATAGGACATGGACAGATAAATGCCCCTAGATTCTTAAGTTTCAGACAGTCCTGTGTGGCTTCATGCATTTTGTTCTGCAGTATAATGAGTACCCCACCTAAGAAAATGTTGTGGGGTTTTTTTCCCCTTTAGAACAAAACATTACAACCGCCCTTACCTGGCTTGGGAAAGCTGAACTGGGGCCTTCCCGAGTATTTTTGTTCAAGGGTGCCATCTAGAGGTGTCTTTATGAATCCTCTATCTCCCCTCCCCCCGCCCCCCAAAACACTGCACACCTCTGTCATTGCTGGGACAGCCGGGTTTTGCTTTTTTTTCCTTTTATGTTGGCTACCTTTTTCACCATATTATGGGGTCCCTGATGACTGGGATCTTAGCTTTCTCCATATCATCAGGACTTGGCTCATGGCAACCATTGATGGGTCAAGAAAATAAAGCTATATGCAGCCTCTTCTATGCTTTTCAAAGGTTACTTACTCTGGCTAAGCAACCATTTCAGGTCTTAGGAAAGACCTGCCAGGAGCACTGGGCTCTGAATAAGAAATGTATGAAAATTTCCCAGCAACACATTGAGACCCTAATCTGTTAATATCACAGAGATGGGGACAAACCAGTCTCTAGCTGACTTCTTCTCTCCAAATTGCCAGATTTAGCAAATAAAAATCCGGAACACCCAATTCAAAGTGAAGATAACTTTTCAAATGTAGGTATGTCCCAAATATTGAATACTCACACTAAAAAATTATTTGTTGTTTACCTGAACTTCTAATTTTACTGGGTATCCAGTGTTTTATCTAGCAACCCTGTGTACTTGGAGTTGAGGGATTGAGGGACTTGAAGCCTGCATCCCTCTAGGGAATCATTACATAGAAAGTTAAGTCAGACAATTCTGGTGCAGATGAGGTAAGCAAGGTTTGGAGTAGGGCGGGGGGACATGGCATTTTCATTCTCCTTAGTAGCTATTTTATTTATTTTCTACCTTTCTTCAGACCATATGTATGTTTTTGGTTAAAGCTGGGGAACAGATTCCATAGTCAGGTTCAAATCCCAACTTTGCCACCGACCTCGCTGAGTGACTATGGGCTGGTTACTTAACCTCTCTGTGCTTCAGTTTCTTCAGCTATAAAACTTGGGATAATAATTTTACTTATTTTCTGGGTTATTGGGTAGATTTGGAAAGATGATGCTCATTAAGTGCTTAGCGCGGTGCCAGCAGATACATAGAGCTCAACTACATAAAAGCCATAATCATTGTTTTTCTATTTTTGAACACAGGTTGACTTAAAGTACACTGACTTTCAGATGCAGACATGTCTCCTACTCACCCACAGGATCATGAGGCTCATTAGCATCCTACCAGTCCCTTTCTACTTATTCACTTTGTTGAGTTACAGCTGCTGGTTTTGGTGGGACATTGGGTTCATGCCCTGTTATAGGAGGCCTGGTTATAACCCCATTTCTGTCTAAACCAAAGTTTCAAACCCTGTCACTAATTCCTTTATTCCAGATACTATTTGAAACTGTATATATTATGGTGTCTGATTGGATAGGGGCCCCCAGATATGGGGTGACGATCAGGTGGAAGCTGGTGGCATAGTCATTGAAAGAATCCTCCTGAAGCAAAACAAAGGAGATAGCAGTTTATTGAATACACTGCAAGGGAGGGGTAGGTGGGACAGGGACAGCAGAGGAGAGGCTGTCTGCAAGGAGCCAGTGGGTGGGGGCTGTTTTTAAAGGGGGAAGGTGAGGGAGGTGTGGGGACAGAATTCTCCCCTTTTTGGTAACTGTGTCTGGTTGTAAGTAGCCCATTGTTTAGTTAGAGCCTGTGGATATTCTGGGTCTTCTGAGGGGGTCGCTGTGGGCCCCGCCTACATGCCATTGCCCAAGCCTGTTCGCCTAAAAGCCTGCCTCTACGTATTTGCCTGATGATAGAGACTACAAATGCAAGAGGTGAGCAAGCACAAGGTTATTTTGAAAGTATGGAGTGCCCAACTTTGAGGAAGAAGTAAGAAAAAGGAGCAAGGGAAGTACTTGGTGCTGTACAGTGCTCAGGGTAGGATCTCAGAAATGTTTGTGTTCTGGGCAGGTCCTTTGTGGAAAGAGCACAGGACTGGGGTCATGAGGACAGGCTTCGACTTGGATCCGTGTTTCTTAGGACTCGCATCAACTGCGGAAAGTTCTGTATCTTGCTCGATTTTGATTTTCTCATCCACAAAATGGGAACAACATGGAGTTTGGAGAAAAATGGAATGAAATAACAGAAATGCATGCATGGCACCCCAAGAGAGCTCAGTAAGTCTAAACCGGTTTTGAGAGAACTTTGAATGCGACCAAGGAACACATACTTTGAATGTTTGGGCAGCCCCTAATATTGTAACCTGTGAGTACACATCTGTGCAAAGGTATGTGTTTTTCTGCATTTATAATAAGGATTACATTAGCCTCAACGTCTATAGAGTGCGTCCTGTATCAGATGACCAAACCATCTCACTTTGCCTAGGATTGAGGGGCTTCCCACGATGCAGGACTTACACTGTTAAAACCCAGAAAATCCCAGGCAAACTGGGGCAAGTTGGTCATCCCCCTGCTATGTGCGAATTGTTTTACAGACATTATCTCCTTAACCTTTAAACCTACCCTATGAGGCAGGTACTCACATGGTTGCCATCTTCTGTTTAAAAAGGACACTTCAGAGAGATTAACAACTTGCTCAAGCAGCTTAGCTAATTAATGGGAAGGGTGGGATCTGAACCTAGCTGTGCCCAGCCCAAGACTTTAACCACCACACTGTTTGCCTTTAGACTTCACCAAAACCACAGTCTTTTATTGCCATTCACCTCCACATGCCCAATCATTGCTGAACACCGTCCCATCTTCCCTTCTGTCATCAACAATTTCTGCTGCCCAGCCAGGCCTCCAGCAAAGGAAGACACCAGCTGAATCAAGCCCCGTCTTGTATCTGGGCACAGCTGAGGCCCCTCCTTCCTTAGCAACAGACGCTGAAGCCTGGTTACAGCCCCAGAGCCTGGGTGTAAGCAAGGACCTCCAGTGTTAAAACAGCCCAAAGAAGAGGAGAGAGAAGAGTTCAGGCTGCCAGGGTATTGTTTGGTAGGGTTTTTCCTCCCTCTTCTCTGTATTAATATGTAACCCTGCTTCAGTTTTTCTACAGCGAACTCGGTGTGTTCCTGGAAAAGTTCCAAGAGAGGAGCTGCTCAGTGGAAGGAAAGACTGCCCAGACCAGGAGGTGTGGGAACCATAGCAGAAAACCCCAGCAGAGCCCCAGTGCTGTCCCTTCATTCTGTAGCTTCCCTTTCTTCTTCTACCAGGGAGCTCCCCAGGGGGCCAAAGTCTATGACCTCAGAGAGGCAGCCCTGTGAACAGAGCTTTCAGAACATTTAGAAAGTTCCATCTTCTGTGTCATCCCCATTATGCTATAAGGAAGTGTGAATTTCAGAGCCACTGGTAGGAGAGGATCGTCTCCCAAGAAACTGAGAGCTCTTTATCCATATTGTAATAGGTCCAGTGAGAATGGACAATATGAGTGACATGGGTTGCTCATCTCCAAAGGTAGGTATGAATTTTGAGGTGTATTTCTTCTTTTTTTCTTTAACCTGTATTTTCAATATGTAGGAAATTGGAGGGTGGGCGGGAAGGGGATATTTCAATGGTAGACTAATTACTAATTGCCATGTCAGATCCCCTGGACTGAGCAAGTGTGTTTGCCACATTTTTATGTGTGTCCTTTGAAATATGCTCTTTGCTGAATTAGGCTTTTGAACATCCTCAGGTTTTGCTGTGTAAATTTTAGGAACAGATGCCTCTTGTTCCTTTCCCTTCCCTTCCAAGGCCATTAGATGATCTCTTCCATCCAATAATTCCCAACACTGGGTGTGCATTAGAATATCCTAGATAGCCTCTTGAAAACAGAGACTTAGCCTCACTTCCAAAGGTTCTGATCCAGAAGGGTTGCAGTGGGGTCCCCAAATCTGTATTTTTAACTAAGAATTGAGTGTTCCTGTTACAGCAGGTGAGCATTTGGGAATGGCCCCCAAGAAGAATGTGCAAAGGACATCTGAAGTCAGAAATCAGCCCTCTGAAAGTAATAGTTCCTCCTGATCTAGGTGTCTGAATCTTGATTTTAAAAGCCAAGATCCACTAGGTTGCCATACACTAACATGCCCAAAGGATCATTTTAAATGGGATCTTTATGAAATTAAAGTGGATTTGTTGGTAATAGCTGAATCTACTACTAAAATGAAAACTCCCTACAGTTTACCAGAGAAAACACTTAAGCATTAACATTTTTAACAAACCATTTTGCATACTGCGTAGTTCTTACAAAAATCACTGTCTCTTTCACCTTGAAGATGCCACAGAGAGTTCTTAGCCAGGTATGGTCAATCAAGAAAAGTATCTTTGGGGTGGCTCAGTGGGTTAAAGCCTCTGCCTTTGGCTCAGGTCATGATCTCAGGTCAGGGTCCTGGGATTGAGCCCCACATCGGGCTCTCTGCTCAGCGGGGAGCCTACTTCCCCCTCGCTCTCTGCCTGCCTCTCTGCCTACTTGTGATCTGTCTGTCAAATAAATAAATAAAAACTCTTTAAAAGAAAAAAAGAAAAGTATCTTTGTTCTGTTCTGGGATTGATTTCCAGATCTGCTGATGCTGTGTGTATAGGTTTTCCTGTCCCATGCACTGAGATGTTTTCTGCTCTCAGAGTAGTTCTGGCTCTGTGTGTGTCAGTCTTAGCCTGTGCTTATAAACTAGCTCAAACTTAATTTGTTCTTCAGAGGTTCTGCTTCCGAGGTTCTGCTCTATTACGTTCTGTAAAATTCTTAACGTTGGCTTTCTTGCGAAATGCTTTGCTTTTCTTTCTTTTCCCAAGAGTGGTTTATCTCTTTGTATGATGACTCAGCTGCTTCTGTGTCTTCCCCTTGGGTGACCATCTCTCAGTATGGAGGAGCACAAATATAATTCAATCTGGCTCAAACCCAAAAGGGAATCTCTGGGCTCAAGTAATTGAGAAGTCCAAATTGGATCCCGGAGTCAGCTGATGTCACTGGGCGTCCATCTTTCACCTTCTGGTTGTTAATGCTTCCTTCTAGGTTGGCTTTATTTTAAGGAGAGCTTTATTCCCGCATCAGGCAGAGATGGGTGTTGAGAGTGCCTCTCTCTCAGTAGGTCTGGTGAAAGTGTCAGGAAAGACTCTGATCAGCCCAGCTTGGGTCACATGCCTGTCCCTGGGCAATCACTGTGTCTAGGAGGACGGAGTGCCCTGATTGGCCAGACCTGTGTTACATGTCCTTCACTGTAGCCAGGGGCTGGGATCAGCCTATTGTGTAACATGGACTGAAATTGGAGAAGAGCCAGTTATGTCCACTTATGGCTGTGTTCTACTTCTTGGTAGGAAGAATAACTTCCCAACTGGTGTCAGGGCTGATGTCACGTTTACTCCCACCATGAGCAGAAGCGTGAAGGCCAAGGCATCTCCTGAATAATATTAACATCCTCCTCGACTGCAAAAGGTCAGGGTTTGGGGGTTAGTTACTCGTTACCACCGTTGCTGGTCACTTACTCAAGATGTCTGAAACTTTCAGTGTTTGCTTTTTGCTCGTTTAATGAAGACATCTTATCTGAAACAGATTTAAAAGCTAGGCTAAGGGGAAAGATTTCCATGGACCACAAAACCTTGCTTGCAAAGACAAAAAACAGGCAGCTGTAACTTATCAATCAGTATATGTTGTACATCTGGGGTCCTGAAGGAAATCATAAACAACTTCATGGTGCTAGAAGTGTGTTGTCAAAATCTGCCCCAGATGGTGTGGTACCCACTTTGCATGACCAGGTTCTTTTCAGGCTGATGTCAGAGTTTTCTCATTTTGTTCAACTGATTGGTGCAGATCTGACAATAATTTTTTTTAAGATTCATTTTATTTGCGAGAGAGAATGTGCACACACGTGCATGCACACGAGTGTGGGGGGAGGGGAGTGGCCGAAGGAGAGACTCTTCAAGCCGACTCCCCACTGAGCATGGAGCCCGAAACAAGGTTCAGTCTCACCACCCATGAAATCATGACCTCAGCCCAAACCAAGAGTCTAATACTCAACACACTGAGCTACCAGGCACCCTCTGATACTGATTTCAGTAGAGAAAATCATCTTGGAGATAATTGATCAATTCTTAGGTCCTCGAAATTGAGGTCAAGAGCAGAGAGAGAGATAGAGTTATTTAAATCAACAAAGTGAACTCTCCAAGCTACAAACAAAGTCTGTAGGTCTCAAACTCATCTTGTTTAAATTGAATCCCATGCAACCTGATTTTTAATGAAGTTCTGTTGGTGAGTCTGGTGTGCCACCATTTTTGAGAATAACTGGAGCATCAGACCAGTGGGCCTGTTGTATGTTTTTAAAGATCTCAGGCTTGCTCCATATCTGTGTTTATGGGTTTGCATGTTTTCGTTTCATTTTAACAACTTCCTAAAACAACTTGTCCTGTTAGTGATACTTGCCGTTTCCAGTGTGTTGGGATGGAGTCATGTGTATTTAAAAGCACCTCTGTGTGGCTAGGATGTGTTACCTATATTCTCTGAGCTTTAGTTTTTTTCAGGTTGAACATGGGTATAAAAAAACTCATAGGGTTCTAGGTTGCTAGAAGGAAATAATTCAGAATAATGATAGTGTTATTATTGCTAATATTTTCTGAGGTTGAGTCATCAGTGAGCAGTTGGTTAGGGCATGAGGGTGGCTGACATCTGCTTCATATATCCCCTGTCTGCTACCCCTGCCAGTTACCCTGCATGACATAATTTGCTGACTCAAGTAAATCAAATCAATCCAGTAATGTCTCATCTTACAGAGTTCAGTCCAAAGTCATTGCCTAAGGTGAAAAATCATGGAGAGTCAAAAGTGCCCTTGAAAATCCCCTAAACCATCTTTAAAGAGCCATGTAGAAACACCTCTAAATTAATCCCAGCCCTGCAGTTTTCCTCTATGTTGGAACACATTGCACTTTCTCCATCGCAGCCCCACGTAAGTAGTGGTCGTGCATGCACGGGCTGGGTCCTAGGACAGAAACACACATAGAATTGCTCAACACTGCATTCGCTTTCAACTCTGCTCAGGTGCTTGGAACTGAGAGTGGCCATGGGAGCTACAAGTTCACCCCTACCTGAGGGTCACCCCTAAGTGCACATTCACTGAAGGGATTGGTGGACTCAGATACCCATACCATTAAAGTGATTTTTTTTTTCTTTTTACAGGAAGTGCAGAGAGCTGCTCATGTGTATGTTATACTCACAATGCCCCTGCATAAGCAAATTTCTATTTGGAATTGTGTATTTGTGAAATGCAAGAGTCCATTTTTTAAAGTTAGCCCCTTGAATCATGACCCAAGATAGGGTAACTTGGGGTCTTCCTGGGAAAATATATGTTAATTTGCTCATAGAGAGGTGCCCAAGGAAAGGACACTGGAGGAGAGATAGGTTGCTAATTTAAAAATGAAACCTATACCATGAATGGATGGATGGATGGGGGTGAGAAGGGCATTTAGTGGACAAAACTCTCTCTAACCCCTTTCTTGGGGATCTCTTTACTCCATGCCCAACCTAGAGGTTTGGAAATCTTTCCTAATTCCTAAAGAGTGGCTTTGTTCCCATTTCCCACAGATCACCAAGAGTGACTCGATACATCATATGAGCCACTCCCAGATGCAGCCAGAACTGCCGCCTCTGCCTGCTTCTGCTGGAGAGGAACCATCTGAACTCTATCAGGTATGTTCATCTAGCTACTGGTCTTCTACTGTTACTGGGCAGGGGTGGGGTGGGGGAGGGGAGTGAAGGATAAGCAGTCAGATTTGACAAGTGAGGTCAATTGCTCTTTGGTCACCTCTGCTACCAGAAAAGACTCCAGCTGTGTGGGGGAAAAAAGCTATCCCGTAGCACAAAGGTGAGTTAAGATCCAGCCTTCTCCCTTCTCTGTGCTATTGAACCTTTCCAAACTTCTGCATCTTCCATCATTTCTGCCTTATAGCCATGTCTGTAAAGAATAAAGACAATGGAAATAAATTACCTGACTCACAGATACACGGTTTATTGAAAGCCAGCTGTTGTCCTTGACATCAGAAATCATGCTCATAGTCGACAGAGAAGAGTAATTGGTGACCATCCAGGAAACATTTGCCTGAGTTTGTAGAAGGTAGAAACAGCATAAGGCACATGGGTCTCCCTGAGTATCCACATGAGTGAAGCTTAAGCTTCTCCAAGAGGTGTCATTCCCCACATCATACTCTGTATATCTTCCCTTGCAGACCGTCATGTCACACAGCTTTTATCCCCCCTTGATGCAACGCACATCGTGGACCCTGGCTGCCCCCTTCAAAGAGCAGCACCACTACCGCGGACCCAGCGACTCCATTGCCAACAACTATTCTTTGACGGCCCAAGACCTGAAGTTGAAGGACCTGCTGAAGGTTTACCAGCCAGTCACCATCAATGTCCCTAGGGAAAAGAATGTTCAGGGGCTGCCATTAGGTATTTGTGTCAGTGTGCCATACCAGCTCAGAATGGGGTGTTGGGTGGGATTTTTAGTCCTGGGTTCTACTTCTGTCTCCTTGGCTTGCTGCAGGTAACCTTGGATAACCTCATAGACTCTCAGTCGGTGAAATGAGAATGATTGTAACAGCTAAGATTGCATTTACCATATGCCATGTCCCTTACATTTACCACACACCAAACACTTGTGTTATTGATTCCTGCATAACAAATTACCCCGAAGACTTAACGGTTTAAAACAACCAGTATTTATTATTCCACAGTTTCTATGAGGCAAGAATCTGGGCATGGCTTAACTAAATGGTTCTGGGCCGGAGCATCTCACAAGCGTGTAGTCAAGGTATCAGCCAGAACCACAGTCATCTAAAGGCACCCAGGGAAGGATCCTCTTCCATGCTTACTCAGGTCCTCAGGTTCTTGTTGGCTGTTGGCCATGGACATCAGTTTCCTCCACATGAGCCTTTCCATGAGGGCAGCTCACAACATGGCTTCTGGCTTCCCTCAGAGGGAACAAGGGAGAGAACAAGAGAGAGAAGGGAGCCAAAAAGACAGAAACCACAGTCTTTTGGGAACTTACTAATTTTGGAAATGACATCTTATCGCTTTGGCTGTATTATGTTTGTTAGAAGTGAGTCTGTAGGTCTAGCCCACATATGCAATGGCTTGATACCAGGAGGTGGGGAATCCTTGGGAGCCATCTTGGAAGCTGCTTACCATAGTACTTTATTAATTTATTTAATACTACTAGGTACACTTCAATCTGCTTATTCTTCAGTAATTCTTACTGCATGTATGTTGGAGACTCTTCATCTGCCCTCTGTCTCAAACTTATTTTCATATTTTTCTTTTTTCTCCTGTGTCTGGGTGAGTTCCTCAGATGTATCTTTTTTTTAATTAATATTTTATTTATTTATTTAACAGAGAGAGACATAACGAGAAAGGGAACACAAGCAGAGGTAGTGGGAGAAGGAGAAGCAGGCTTCCCACGGAGCAAGGAGGCTGATGTGGGGCTTGATCCCAGGACTCTGGGATCATGACCTGAGCCGAAGACAGATGCTTAAGGACTGAGCCACCCAGGCACCCCCACATGTATCTTCTAATTCAGTTATTTGCTCTTCAACTCTGTTGAGACTTAAGTTTATCATGTCTAATGAATGTCTTTTTTTTTTCATGACAATATCTTTACATTTTCAGATTTTCTAATTGGTTCTACTCAGTGGGTGTCACCCCTGTCAATTTCTCATTTTATTCTTATGGGCATAGCTTTTTCAATTCCTGGGAGGATCTTAAACATTTTTTTTGGAGCAATGTTTATAATGCTGTATTATTTTCACTTTGTGAATCTATCCCTTGATTTTTTAGTTTATTAGCTATCTTTCTTAGTATCGGGTTTTTTTTCTGGGATTTTAGTTTGCTGACTGTATTGAAAGATTTTTTTCCGTTCTTGCTACATGATCCCCCCCCCCATTATTTTTATTGAAGTGTGATTCACATACAATAAAATGCATAGATCTTACATGTTGAGTTCAGTGAGTATTGGCAATTGTTTATACCATATAGCCACCACCCAAACAGGATACGGGGCATTTCCTTCACTAGAGAAAGTTCTCTTGTGCTCACTGCCAATGAGTTCTCTCTCCTACCCAATACCATCCCTGTCCAACATAACCACTTTCTGGTTTTTGTCACCATAGATTAGTTTTGCTCGTTTTCACTTATAATTGTAATCAATGTGTACCCTTCTTTTTTTTTAATCATTTTTTAAAATTTATTTTCAGCATAACAGTATTCATTGTTTTTGTACCACACCCAGTGCTCCATGCAATCCGTGCCCTCTCTAATACCCACCACCTGGTTCC